AGGGTATAGGCCCGAAACGTCAGCCTTCCTGCTCCTCTGATGCTGCTTGGCCTGCTGTGTTCATCCAGCTCTACACCTTGTTATCTCTGTAGTTAAGAGAACGTCTGTTGAAACTTCAGAATCAGTGAGCTCTGCAAGGCCAGAAAAGAGAGTTCACATCCCATCCAAAGGGAGGGACAGTCTGAGTCAGGATGTATTTTGGGGATTTTGGAGCAGCATGGGAGTCCAGGGAAGAGGTGCTTTTTGTTTGCTTGATTGATTCATAGCCTGTTAACGGGATAAATTGTAGCCCAGGAATGGGGGCTCAACAAAGCAAAGAGTGACATCACAGGAAACCCACACTGTCGAGACAATCAGTGGGAATCAGAGTCTCAGAGCAGAGCCTGTGGGCAAGGACCTTGCACCAAGTGAAAAACATCTTCATTCTGAACAGGGAGAAACAATCAGGGTGAAGTCACAGGGAAGCAGTGAGATGATTGGCTGCTTAGGAACCACATTTAGGGACTGAGTGACTAGTATCGGGAGGGAGACAGTGTGTGAAGTCTTTATCTTTGTCGGTTGCAGTTTGTTAGGAGAGGTGACAAATTTGATTTGGTGAGTAATGGGTAAGGTTAACTAATTTGTTCCTACTTTATTGTTTATAGATGTAAGGATCACAATGGCAGGAGAATTTGGTCCCATGAAATGTTCCTCCCACAATACGTGGGAAATCAGGGACAGTTCCAGTATTCCATTATTGACAAAGAAAACCATCACTGCAGCAATGAGGGAGGATGTCCTAGAAGGCTCTTCAAATGAGGCCATTTGTGTAGAGCTTAGAAATAGAATAAAGGGGTGACTACTTTGCTGGGATTATATTACAGGTCTCCCAACAGGCAGAGGGACATAGAGAAGCAGATATATTGGCAAATCATAGAGAGGGGAGAAGGGAAGGGGGTTATAGTAGTGGGGGATTTCACCTTTGCTAACATTAACTGGGATCGCCTTAGTGAGAAAGAATTAGAAAGGATGGAATTTATAAAGTGCATCCAGGACAGCTTTTTGAGCCATTACATAGATAGTCTGATTAGAGATGGGACAGTGCTAGACCTAATCCTAGAGAATGAAGTGAGTCAATATTTTGAAGTGTCAGCGGAAAAGATTATGGTCAATATCCCCAAAATCTGTGCGTTTTAAAGGCAGTATAGGAAGGGGATAAGGATAGTGCAGAAATTAGGGGTCAAAATTAGGGGAAGATCAGTATCAATATCATTTGACAGGATCTGGCAAACATAGACTGGGTACAACAATTTGCAGCCAAGTCTATATTTGGAGACCTGGAATCTTCTAGAAGTGGTATAGTGATGGTTCAGGGCCAGCGTATTCCTCTAAAAGTGAAAGACAAGGGCAGTAGGTTGAGGGAAACCTTGGATGTTAAGGGATATTGAGAGTTTGAAAAAGAAAAAGAAACTATGTGATGGTACAGAGCATTAAAATCAGAGGAGGCCCTTCAGGAGTACAGGAAGTGTAGGGGGGTTCGTCAGACACTGATCCTGTCTGGCTAATTTAACTGAGTGCTTTGAAAAGGTGACTAATTATATTGATGAGGGTAATGCAGTTGATGTAGTTCACATGGACTTCAGTAAGGCCTTTTTGACAAGATCCCACACGGAATGATGATCCAAAAGCCCATGGAACCCAAGGCAAGTAGGCAAACTGGATCCAAAATTTGTTTGCAAATAGCAGGCAAAGGGAAGAATTGTTTTTGTGAATGGAAAGCCGTGACCAGTAATGTAGCACAGAGATCAACACTGGGAGCCTTAACAATTTGGATGTGAATGTAGAAGGTATAATTAGTAAGTTTGCAGATGACACATAAATTGATAGTGTTGTTGATAGTGAGGAGGACAGTCTCAGGCTATAGTCTGATATCGATCAGCTGGTAAATTGGGCAGAGCAATGGCAGATGGAATTTAATCCAGATAAGTCTGAGGTGATGCAATTTGGGAGGTCTAATACGGGAAGGATTTACACAATGAATGATAGGATCCCAGGGAATACTGAGGAATAAAGGGACCTTGGTGTACGCGTCCATTGATCCCTGAAGTGTCGACACAGGTAAACAGGGTGGTGAAGAAGCCGTAACCTACAGATAAGACACAGAGCAGTAAATCAAAGGGACAGCACAGTGCCACAGTGGTTAGCACTGCTGTCTCACAGCTCCAGGGACCCGAGTTCAATTCCAGCCTTGGGTGACTGTCTACATGTTCTGCGTGGGTTTCCTCCAGGTGCTCTAGTTTCCTCTCACAGTCCAAAGATGTGTAGTTTAGGTGGATTGGCCTTGCTAAATTGCTTCATAGTGTCCAAGGATATGCAAGTTAGGTGGGTTAGCCATGGTGAATGTGGGGTCTGGAGCGGGGTATGCTCTCCAGAGGGTCGATGCAGACTTGGTGGGGCAAATGGCCTCTTTCCACACTGTATGGATTCTATGATTCTTGTAGTGTCACGACCAGAACTGTACACAATATTCCAAATGTGGCCTAACTAAAGTTTTGTACAGCTGCAACATGACTTGCCAAGACTTGGCATGCTTGCCTTCATTAGCCGGGTGTACGAGCAAGGAAATCTTGTTACAACTTTATGAAACATTGGTGTTTATCTTTGACCCTCATAATTTTCTACATCTAATCATGTTCCCTCTGCTCTATGGTAAGCAGCCCCAGTCTGACCAATCTCTCTTCATAGTTAAAACTCTCCAGCCAAGGCACCTCCTCTGCACCCTCTCCAGTGCTATCACATCCATCCTGAAATGTGGATTCCAGAACTGTATACAATACTCCAGCTGCAGCCTAACCAATGTTTTATCCAGTTCCAGAGAATTTATCCAGAGAATTGATAGGGCAGGTGGACATGATCTGTATAGACTTCAGTAAGGTGTTCGACCATGTTCTTCACGGTAGACTGATTAGCAAGGTTAGATCACATGGAATACAGGGAGACCTAGTCTTTTGGATACAGAACTGGTTTGAAAGTAGAATACAAACAGTGGTGATGGAGGGTTGCTTTTCAGACTGGACCAACTGTGTGCCATGAGGATCGGTGCCGGGTCCACTGTTTTTCATCATTCATACAAATGATTTGGATATGAACATAGGAGGTATGGTTAATAAGTTTGCAGATGACACCAAAATTGGAGGTATAATGGACAGTGAAGAAGGTTACCTCAGAGTACAATGGGATCTTGATCAGATGGACCAATGGGCCGAGGAGTGATAGATGGAGTTTAATTTAGATAAATGTGAGGTGCTGCATTTTGGAAAGGAAATCAATGCAGGACTTATACACTTAATGGTAAGGTCCTAGAGAGTGTTGCTTAACTAAGAGGCACTGGAGTGCAGGTTCAAAGTTCCTTGAAAGTGGAGTGGCAGGTAGATGGGATAGTGAAGATGGCATTTAGTATGCATGTCTTTATTAGTCAGTGCATTGAGTATAAGAGTTGGGAGGTCATGTTGCGGCTGTATCGGACATTCGTTAGGCCACTTTTGCAATACTGTGTGCAATTCTGGTCTCCCTGCTATAGGAAAGATGTTGTGAAACTTGAAAGTGTTCGGAAAGATTTACAAGGATGTTGCCAGGATTGGAGGGTTTAAGCTACAGGGAGAGGCTGAATAAGCTGGAGCTATTTTCCCTGAAGTGTCAAAGGCTGAGGGGTGATCTTATAGAGGTTTGTAAAATCATGAGGGGTATGGATAGGGTGAATAGACAAGGTCTTTTCCCTGTGGTGGGGGAGTCCGAAACTAGAGGGCATAGGTTAAGAGGGGAAAGATTTAAAAGGGATCGAAGGGGCAACTTTTTCATAAAGAGTATAGTGTGTGTATGGAATGAGCTGCCAGTGGAAGTGTTAGAGGCTAGCACAATCACAAAATTTAAAAGGCTTCTGGATGGGTATATGAATAGGGAGGATTTAGAGGGATATGTGCCAAAAGGTGGCAAATGGGATTAGATTTATCTAGGATATCTGATAGGCATGGTTGAGTTGGACCAAAGGGTCTGTTTCTGTGCTGTATATCTCCATGATTCTATGACTATACCATATGCCTTCATAACTACTTTATCCACCCGATACCTTAAGGGACCAGTGGACACGCACACCAAGGTCCCTCTGATCCTCGGTGTTTCCCAGGGTCCTATTGTTCATTATACATTCCCTTGCCTTGTTGCCATCATGTACTCCTCCTGCTCCAGTTTCCCTCCACAGCCCAAAGCTGTGCAGGTTAAGGTGGATTGGCCATGCTAAATTGCCCACAGTGTCCAGGGTGAGATATGCAGGAATAGGGGAGGGGGTGTCCTTCATATACCTGGCCATTGAAGACGAAGTGTGTGGTAAGGCATAAGTATAGTAATATGAACAAATTAATGGAACACCCATGGGTTCACCTATCTCGGGGATCATAGCGGAAGCAAAGATTGGAGCTCACAGTCCTACCCCACATCCGGCCTAACCTATGGGTTAGATATGTGGACGATACCTTCGTGGTCATTAAATGAGCAAAGTTGGAAGAAACACAGCACCTAATTACCAGCATGTTCACCAGGGATCAAGTTCACCAGGGAAGATGAGAACAATAATCAACTCCTGTTTCTAGACATAATGGTGGAATGAACAAACAATGTGGAATTCCTGACCAGCGTACACAGAAAGACTACACACACAGATCAAATCCTGTATTACAACAGCAACCACCACAGCATCCACAAACAGAGCTGTGTCAAGACTCTGTTTAAACGAGTGATAACCCACTGCGACACCCTGGAGTAGCACAAAAATGAAGAGGAATACCTAAACAGAGTCTTTGCAAACAAGGGTTATCCTAATAGCTTTGTCTGCTGATGCCTTGCAAACAAACAACACCAAGAAGACACTATACGCCCCAACACACTAGCCACCCTATTCCATGTTAGAAACACATCAGAGCTGACTATAAGACTCCTATGACCTCTTGGAATAAGGATAGCACACAAACCAACAGCCCCACACTTCACCAGTTGCACTCAAAGACAAAAGACCCCATACACACAATGAGCAGGACAACTGTGATACATAATAATTCCATGCAGCAACTGCGAGGTACACTACATAGGACAAACGGGCAGGAAACTCGCCACCAGGATACATGAACACCAAATTGCAGCAAAACAGCATGACCAACTCTCCCTCGTTTCAATACACTCTGACATAGAAGGACATCAATTTAACTGGGACAAAGTTCCAGTATTTGGACAAGCAAGACAAAGACAAGCACGAGAATTCCTGGAGGCCTGGTTTTCAACCACCGATGCAGTTGACAAATATGTTGAAATAGACCTCATCCACATACCACTATGGTACAAGACTGGAAACAAGGCTGTTCACCATGACAGACCGGACCATATGAATTCAGGGCAGGACAGAACAACAGCGTTTCAACAGAGGCTACACAGCACTGACGATGTCACCTAGAAGGGAGATGAAATGTTTGCATGAAAACCAGTCAGCTTAGCGAACCAACCAACAACTCCAACCGCAACCCAAGCTACAGATCTTCATTAAAAAGATATTGATAGGTTAAGTAAGTGGGATAAAATTAGCAAATCAAGTATAATGTGGGAAAATATCAAGCTGTTCATTTTGGAATGGAGAACAGAATATTATTTAAATAAATAAAAACTGCAAAAAGCTGCAACACAAATGAACTTGAGGGTACTTGTGCATAAAACATAGAAAGCTAACACACAGAGGCAACAGGTAATCAGGAAGGCTGATGGAATATTGGCCCTTATTTCAAGGGGTTTGCAGTATAAAAGTTGGGAAGTCTTACTGCAACTGTACAAAGTGCTCGTGAGACCACGTCTGGAGTATTATGAGCAAGTCTGGACCCCCTATTTAAGGAACTATTAGATGATATTAGGGCACTGTGCACATACTGTGTTAGCATACTTTACATACAATGTGCTTTGAGTGTAGTGTACACTTTGTTTTACGCAGGAGTAATTGAAGACATTGGCAGGAGAATAAAAAACAGAACATGGTTTCAGTGGTGAGAGATTGCAGAGCTCTGAGATGCAGGAGGACTTAGGGGTCCTAGTGAATGAATCATTAAAGGTTGATATACAGGGCATTAGGACAACAATAGCATGTTTTATTTTACTGGGGATTTGAAAACCAAAGTTGTGAAGTTATGCTTCAGTTATTGGTGAGATTACATCTGGAGTACAGTATACAGTATTAGTCTCCCTATTTCAGGGAGAATGTGAATGCGTTGCAAGCAGTTCAGAGAAAGTTACTAGACTGTGGTGAGGTGGGTGTTGTCTTATAAGGAAACGTTGGACAGGCTAGGCTTGTATCCTCTGGAGTTTAAAAGAGTAGGATGACTTGATTGAAACACACAAGATCCTGAGAGATCTGGTCAATGTGGAAAAGGTTTCCTCCTGTGGGAGAATCTGGAACTATGGGTTACTGTTTAAAAATCAGGGGACAACCAATAGGAAAGGAAATGAGGTGAAACATTTTCTCTTCAAGGGTGGTGAGCCTTTGGAACTCTTTTCCTGAAAATGTGGCAGGTACAGAGTCCTTAATTATTTTTAAGGTGGAGATGTATAGATTCTTGCTAAGTAAAGGGGGTGAAAGGTTACCAGGGAATGAAGAATGTGGATTTGAGGCTACAAAGATCAGTAATGAGCTTATTAAATGGCAGAGCAAGCTTGAGGGACTAATTGGTGTACTCCTTCTTCTTTTTTATATGGTTCGTCCTTCAGAGTGTCACACTGTCTCTGTTATCATGATGCCTGTGTAGTATCAGACTATCCCTCCTTCTGCAAGTTAACTGAGTTATGTCCCACTCACCAGCCATCACTGTCGCTGATTTTTGGATTGAACTTTTCTGCTGAGTTCTCAGAGAAGAGCTGATCGTCTGGTGTCAACGGTGGGATTGGGATGTTGTACAGCGGATGTTGAAACAGTGCTGTCAGTTTAGAGATGTTTGACTTTAAGTGCTCGCTCTGAGGCTTACTATCCATACTAAAGCCTGACTGTGTATGTTTCTTTTGATGGAATGCCTGGCTCTTGCCATTTGAATCCACCACCATTTCTAGGGATTGAGATCTGCGGCTTGATGTCCTGGTGCTGGCATAATTCTGAAGTTCTCGGTTTGTCTTTGACAGCTTGCTCTTCGTCACTGGTTGGTTCGGGAGCAGAGGAATGTTCTGGCCAGCAGTCTGTGGGTGATGAGCACACTTTTCTTGACCACTCAGCTCCTGAATGGGCAGCAGAGCAATCAAGACATGCAGTACCAGGCTGATCACAATCAAAAGCAAGAGCGTTAACCTGGGCCTCCAGAACGTCATCATTGGCAAACTCTTCAGAGTTCCAGATCTTCAAAATTCCAGTTCTGAATCTCGATGATGAATCTGTGAGTTGCTATTGAAATCTGGTTTACCAGTACTGAAAGACAGTCCTTGATTCACATAGCGACTGACTAACCCCTTGGCTGCACAGTTGGGTTTGTTCACAGGAGTTCTGATCACTATGACCGTTCTGGCTTATCACACAGCAAACAGGGGTCAGTCAATGTCCAAAGGTGTCCTGGAAGCAGCCAGAGAGACTATGCTTCGTGTCAGGCTCCTCATAACTGTAGATAAGGACAGATTCAGGAACGGGCCAACAGTTTCACATCAATACTTTGTTCAATATTCATCAAATAAGCTCAGGATCACATGACTTCATGGAAGGAGTAGCATGTTCACTTGATCCAGGATTGTAGTTACTCCAAAACCTGCCCTTACCCAACATACAGCACCTGAAATCCCCATCAAACTCTTCTAAGACAGAAACAGCACAAAGTTAGATACTGAGTACAACTCCCTCTACGTTGTCCCCAGACAATCCCGGGACAGGGATCGCATGGATTTAGATATACAGTAAAGCTTCCTTTACTCTTTTAAATTGAAAATAAAACTCCCTCAACACTATCACCATCAAACACTCCCAGGATAGGTACAGCATTGGATTAGCTACTTACTAAAGCTTCCTCTACTCTTTTAAACTGAAAATAAAACTCCCTTTACACTGTCCCCATCAAGGATTTGACAGAGTAAAGCATTGTCTAAACTGTCCCCACCAAATATTTGCATGTTAGGGACAGCACAGGGTCATATACAAAATATAACATTTTCTACTCTGTCCCCATCAAACACTCCCAAGTCAGGAGCAACTTTTTAAAAATCTATCCCGGTTATCTAGATGATTTGGGAGTGAAACTTTATTTGAATCCAGAGAGCCGCACTGAATTGGTCTTTAATTCAAACTATGAATGGAGGAAAGTGCTACATGTGAGAATCCCCCACTCACCCATTACCACCAACGGAAAGTGCAGGAGGGCATGCCAGGAGCAGCACCAGGCATACCTAAAACTGAGAGGTAACAGGTGAAGCTACTGAACAGGACTACCTGCATGCCAAACAGCATATGCAGCAAGTGATAGACAGAGCTCGGCGATCCCACAACCAATGGATCAGATCTTAGTTCTGTAGTTTTATCACATCCAGTCGTGAATGGGGTGGACAATTAAACAACTCACTGAAGGAGGAGGCTCCATAAATATCCCCATCCTTAATCATGGAAGAGCCCAGCACATCAGTGCAAAAGATAAGACTGAAGCACTTGCAGCAATCTTCAGCCAGAAATGTCAAGTGGATGATCCATTTCAGCCTCCTCCAGTGATCTGTAGCATTGCAGATGCCAGTTTTCAGCCAATTCAATTCACTCCATGACATCAAGAATTGGCTGAAGCCACTGGATAGCACAAAGGCTATCAAGCCCAATAACATTCCAGCAATTGTACTGAAAACATGTGCTCCAGACCTTCCGTACCCCTAGCCAAGCTGTTCCAATCTGCCTAACAATATGGAAAAATTGCCCAGGGGTGTCCTGTTTACACAAAGCAGGACAAATCCAACGTATTTACTATTATCAGTCTACTCTCAATGTGATGGAAGTTGTCACTAACAGTGCTATCAAGCAGCACCTACTCAGCAATAACCTGCTCAGTGCCACCCAGTTTGGGTTCCACCAGGGAAACTCAGCTCCTAACCCCATTACAGCATTGCCTCAAACATGGATATGAGGGCTGAAGAGATGACATGAGACTGACTGCTCTTGACATCAAGTTCACACTTGACCAATTGTGGCATCAAGGAGCTCTTGTGAAACTGGAATCAATGTGAACCAGGTGGGAAAGCTCTCTGCTGGTTAGAGTCATACCTGGAAAAGGGAAGATGGTTATGATTATTAGAAATCAGCTGTCTCAGTTCCTCAGGATAGAGTCCTCAATCCAACCATCTTTATCTGTTTCACTTTCCACTATCATAAGGTCAGAAGTAGGGATATTCATTAATGATGATTGTACAATATTCAGCATCATTCACAAACCCTCAGATACTGAAGCAGTCCATGTTAATATGCAGAAAGACCTGGACAATATTCAGTCTTGACCTGGTATGTGGTAAAAAACATAAGTAACATCCAGGACAAAGCAGCCCACTTGATGCCATCCAATCCACCACCTTGAACATTCACTCCCTGCACCATCAATGCTCAGTAGCAGCAATGTGTACCATCTACAACACGCACTGCAGATATTCACCAAAGTCCTTAGACAGCACATTCTAAACCTGCGACCTCTACCACGTAGATGGACAAGGACAGTAAGGGAACATTTTTACGATCCTAAGTCACTTGTGACTTTAATTTTTGCACTGGAACTATAGGCTAGCTTCTTCCTGAAGCTATTTATACCTGAGCTTAAACATACTCAGGCTTTAACTAACCTCTTCAGAGGTTTATCCCAACACCTCTGTTCTGAGATTAACACAAACTCCTCACACTAGTTCACTATATAGCCTTCCTTTCCCAGGACACAGCTATTCTCATCCAAGAACTTCACAGGACTGCCCCAAATCCCAAAGTGAACAAAAAACAACTCTCTGCAAGCTATGGATATTAAGCTTTAAAACGTCAAGTTCCAGAAGCCTTGAAAACCTTGAGGCCCCATTATTTACCTTGCCTGGTGCCAATACAAACTAAGATATACAAACATCAGTGGTGCGGAAAATATCATTCACTCTAGAGCTAGGTCTCAGAAACTATTTAATAACTGTCAAACTGTAGAAATACTTACAAGTTAAGTTTTAAACTTCAGGCACAAGAAAACCCATCAGTTACTAATTTAAAATCCAGAAAACCAAACATATAATAAATAATCCCACAGTTTAGATCACAACACTACCACCCGCAAGTTTCCCTTCAAGCCGTGCACCATTCCAATTTGGAAAGATATCACGGTTCCATCTCTGCCACTGCATCAAAATCCAGGAACTCCCTCCATAATAGCAGTGTGGATAACCCTACACCCCTGGACTACAGCAGTTCCAGAAAGTGACTCACCACCAACTTCTCAAAGACAATTAGGGATGGGCAATGAATGTCTGCCCAGCCAAGTGACCCATAAATGAAAAGATAATGTAAAATATAAATATTTTTAAATTGGGAACTTTTTGAAAAGCCTCTACATGCTGATATGCTGCTCCTGACTTTGAATTATGAAATATTCCATTTGTGATGTGTTTTCCATGCTGTTAACATTGACTAAAATTTACATTGTTGAACACAGTTAAGCAGCAAAACATCAGTGGAAACTTCAAACCACTAAATAACACATGAATTCAGCTGTCCAAATATTCACCCAAAGGTGAAACTAGACATTCAATAAGCAGGCAGCACAAGTATCAGGAACGCGTCGCAACTGAAATCCAATTGCTTTGGGGACCCCTTGGTAATAACAATATTGAATAGAATTACCATGGGGAAAATTAAATGATCAGGGAGAACCACTGGAACCTGGACACCGGAGTGAACCAATCACAGGGAAAAGCAATCTGGCACCAAGTCTGTTTCTGTACAAAAACAACTGCTGGAATCGAGGCAGCTGCCTTGCAATCAGTGGGTCAGTGTGACCAGCCTTGTACTTTGCATATCTCTCCAGTTAATACCGTTATTTGTTTAACCTTGTGATAGTCTTTTTTTTAACTGCTCAGTTGGTGGGAGATGGTGCTGAGAAATACATAGGCAGAAAAGATGATATTCATCGTACACATTTGTAAGACCTTGTGTACTGATCCCAGAGCACAAGCTTACACAGAAATACAGAAACGTTATATCAGGGTAACATGCCATTTGGCCCACTGTGTTTGTACCATACATGTGTCTGAACAAATGGTCTCCATTCCTGTATCTTCCTATATCCCTTTCTCCCTTTTCCTTCATTCACCTGCACAATCTTCAATTTGATTATTGCTTCTGCCTCAACCACTATAAGGGGAAAGTGAAGTCAACAGCCTGACAGCTCACTGTATGGAAAGGTTCCTCTGACTCTTTGTTTTTAGCCTTGTATCTATAAATGCGGATTTAATCCCTTAAATTTAGTCTGATTTTACCCACCCTATTCCACCCAGTTGTTATTTTTCTGAATCACATTGTCTACAATTTGTGATGTTCTAACGAAAAACTCCCAATATTTCCTCCATGAATCATCATCTGTGAAATGTCAATAACCTTACTGGCCAATTTTGCACATATACTATAACAAACCTCATACCCAATTCCGGCACAGGTTGAGAAGAAAAATTTCCTCCAGTTAAATAGTGGGAAGATTGAAGCCATTGTCTTTGGTCCCCAAAACTCCATTTCCAAGTGTTGTCCTCGCCTCTGTCAAAAATGTCTGTCCACTGTCATCAATTTTATCCCTCTCCCTGCTGATTGTCTGAGGCTGAAACATGGAAACTAGGAGGAGGAGTAGGCCATTCAGCCCTTCGAACCTGCACTGCCATCCAATATGATCATGTCCGATCCTCTTATCTCAATGCCATATTCCCACACTATCTTTGTACACCTTTATGTCTTTAATATCTAAACATTAATGAATCTCTTCCTTGAATATACACAATGAGCTAGCCTCTATTTCCTTCTGTGGTAGTGAATTCTACAGGTTGACCATCCTCCAGGTGAAGAAAATGTTTCCTCATCTCAGTCCTGAATTGCCTACTGTATATCATGTGACTGTGACCTCTGGTTCTAGACTTCTCAGACATGAAACATCCTCCTTGCTTCTAGTCTGTCTAGCCCTGTTAGAATTTTATACGTTTCAATCAGATCTCCTCTTATCTTTCTGAACTCTAGTGGACACAGGCCCAGCTGAACCCAACTCTTCATAACCTGTTACATTTCAGCCATAATGAGCTTCCAGCCACATATCTGTGCTGTCATTAAGATATCTGCAACATTGCCATAC